TCATCTAAAGAGCAGCAATTTTTTTTAATAAAGAGGTAAAACCTACTCCATTATTCATATGTATTCTATGTTTGTAATAAAAATATCTAATTTTAAACTGTTACAATTCCATGCTTATTTAGGAATCCACTCAAACTAATTAGAAGGTCAGAGCTCTTCAGGTGCATCTTCTCGTGTATATTTCTAGTTAAACAGCCTCTTTGGGAGGCCCTGATGCCTCTCAAGTCAGTTTTCTTGCTGAGAATCTGCTGTTTCAAAAGCAATTTGTGAGCACAAATAAAAATATACAGGATCTAAGTCCCTATGTTTTTCCTGCTCTGATGGAGCTATGTGTGAGTTCGTTGGGAGAAGGGAAAACATGCACTTTTCCAATGTGGATCTGGCCTCTTGAATTTTCTCAAAGATAACTAAAAAAGCCAAGACATGGAAGCCACAAGGGGGTCTAATCTAATGAGATCTGTTGAGTAAGAGAAAGGAAAATACAATATTAGATGATCAACAGCATACATTGCTAAAGTTTACAAACTTTTGCATTTAAACTTCAGTAATGTAAGGCCACATAAAAAAAAGAGTTACAAGTTCACAGGCTGGATTTGTACTTTTTATTACTGGACTAAAAAAAAAAACCGGTCCATTTGTACACTGAGACAAGTTGTTCTTTATTAGATAAAATCAGCATGTTTGTTAAACAAAAAACCAAAAACCAATATTAGCTATTTTTACAAAAAGTACTTCACCAATCACAACTTATATTGATGACAGTATATTTTGCTGCTACTGTATATTCTGGGACTCTAAATAGAACATCAATGGGATTAATTTTAATAGGGATTTCATTTCAGCAAATCAATGAGATTCCATACGTTAGCAATAAGTATGATTTTGACATTCCATCTCATCCTCCTCAAAATTGCATGAGATTAATACTTCAACTTCCCATGAGGTGGGATAGGAGGACCAAGCTATTACTGGAATACATAGCATGGTACTATGTCTAGATATTAAGCATGGAGTATAGGAAGTTAACATGGGTCATTGAAATAGAAGTAGGAAAAGTTAAAGCCTTCTCTGTTATCAAAGGCAGAGGAAGAGGAGGAGGAGATTGGACATAGTGATCCTTTGGGAGCTGCATGCAGTGAAATTTCATTTTAATGTATGCCAATTGGTGCACATTCAAAGTGACAATAAAGTTATTCAAGTTCTAAGGAGGAGGAGGAGATATTTAATCAATTTATAAGGCTGTCAACTTGCCAAGGAACAGCTAAAAAGACATGGTTAACTGTAGTCAACAATAACAACATACAATCTGGCTGTTATCCCACACCATACCATCTCCCAAAGTGGACACATCTAACATCCCAGCCTGAAAGCCAGTATTTTAATGCCTTGTGAAAAGCTAGCAGAATCAGGACCAACTGAATCTCAGGGAAGATCATTCGAGAGCCAGGCATTGCCATGGAAGTGGTATTCTTCCTGGGTCCAGCCAAATGATTTACAGCAGTGGTCCCCAACCTTTTTTGTACCACGGCCCGGTACCGGCATCACAAAATAATCCACGGACCGGTACCGGCATCAGCACGCACGACCAAGGCAAGGCGAGCCAAGTTACTGGCCAGCCAGCCGTCCCCCGCTTCTCCCTGCCACCTTCAACTCCTCCTTTGTACCTTCTCGTGGTCAATGGGCTTTTCGGGCTCTTTCTTAATCTCCTCCTGAGTAACGCGAGACTCCACCGCCATCGGGATGGCTCTTCGTTCGAAGCCGCCCCCCCTTTGACAAAACTAAGGCGCGAGGATTCCTTCAGCACCCAAACGCCGCTTTCCAACCGACGACCGACAAGCTCACCCGGAAGTACTTTCTCAAGCGCCGTTGAAACAAGATGGCGGCGCCCAAGCAAAGTAGGCGGCCCGGTACAAAATGATCCACGGACTGGTACCGGTCCGGGGCCCGGTGGTTGGGGACCCCTGATTTACAGGAGAGAGGGCATGGAATGGAACAATACAACTAGAGACAGGCAGTCCTACAAATAATCAGTTCATACAGGAATTAATAGATAACCACCACCTTCACTTCAACTGCACTTCTGTTGATGTTAAATGCAAGTTCAAATCCTTTCTTGCAATATGGATAGGGAGGGACAGGATGCATGTGTAAATTATGTGTGGGCAGAGAAATCCTAGCCATAACTGACATGTCAACTTTTGAAATAGAATCCATTGTAGTTATTTTTGCATGTTTATTTGCTAACACATTGTCTTTATATTGCACAGAAATGTTGGACAATAGCATCAGAATGAATACATGAATTTTATGCAGTTTTGATCAGAAGGCTATATGCATAGTAACCCTAACATAATTTAAGGAAACCTGTGAAAATATCCTGTTCCTTTCTTTTCTCAGAAACTTATTTTGTTCTCTGTAGAGTTTCAGAAGTCGCTTTTGAATCTAACAAAGAAACTTTCCTTCACTTACCTTCCTCAAATTGACATCTGAGAACCAAGTATAATTTCGGACAAATTCTCCCATCCAATCCCACATTGTTCAGGGTAGCCTTATGTTTCTCCAAAGCAGCTTTTTAGAGTACACAAATGATTTCAGAGGGAAAAAGGTATTCAAAATTTTCCCTTTCAAAAATTTCCTTAAGTTATGCTAAGATATTCAGATGAGTGTCTTCCTTAAAATAGTCTATGAACTCCATGACAGTTTACAAAGAAGAAACTAACCAACATAAACTACCCAATCATGTTGCCTTTTTCAGTTTTCCATAACAAAATTATCCTTGCTAAAATAATAAAACGAATTAGTATATTCATGTCTAATCTTTACTTCAAAATAACATACAGGATTGACGTATAAAACCTGTGTTACTGTACTGTACTTAATCATGGTTAATTTTGTAAAATAGTAGATTAGTTCTGATATTAATCCTACCAGTAACACTGTAATATTATCAGTGTTTTCAGTGTTAAAGTCTTCTGAAATGAGTAGGAGTTGTTGAAAAGACTATACATGCTACAACTTGTAATATGCATGCTAAGCAGTAAATTATATTGGGCTTTGTGAGATTTATTTTAGAGTAAAGATAATTATATTGCCTAACTCATTCAGTAGTCCAATGGAGCACAAATTTTTAATACTGCCTTCTATTGCATTCTTAGATTAACAATTGTTTGTTAACAATAAGATTTTTTTATATAATCAAATAGTATTATCCTGAATCTTTACATAAGCCAATTGATTTCCCGTTGTAATTAGTCTCTCAAAATAGCTGAGGAATTATGCTCCTACTAACGTAAGTCCGTTTTCATATTTCACCACAAATAAACACATTTGTTTTTCCTCCCTAAAAAAGGCACAAGTTACTATATCAATTTGTAAGATAATGATGGCACTTTACAAATTATTTCAAAAAGCCAACAACCTCAGCTATTAATGCCTTTTTAGGACAGATATATTTTCTCTAGATAAGAGCTCCGATGTACTCTAGGGTGAACATAGGATCAGTCATTAAAACTTTAATTCAAGTCACACTTTAAATAAATTGCTTGATAATTTTTCAACATTTGATTTATAGTTACTAGCATGCATTATAGAGAGGCCACTGGGTACTAATATATTATTTTGTGCATTCTCTCATTCAAGACAGGAAAGCTAATTTTTCAAAGCTTAAGAAACCAAATTCTCATCAAGCTACTTGAAGGTTTGGCTGTGTTTTTTCTTGAACTATATCAAACACCTACTTACTCTCGGGTTACATAGGAAATTAATATGTTGTTGTGATACCCTTTTTTCCAGTTTAATCATGCTCCATCTTATCCTCTGTATTAAAGTCAGAAAGTACAATTAGCACAAACTGTCTTCCATAGGTCAGGGAGAGTATATGAAATTATGTCAGTGGTTAAATGTACTACTGAGTGATTGGCTCTTGTCCATCTGAATCTCTAATATTGTTACTACTTGACACTGCAAAAGTGCACTAAACTGTATTGTAAAACTCTCTAAGGTCCAACTATATAGTTTAAAATTAGGGCAAGAAGGTGGTCTTATGGAGCACATTGCTTATAAATACAGATAATGCTACAAAATACTCCATACTTGATAGCACCAGTTGCTTCAGGGTATACTGATCAGTAATTTAAACTGATGTTTAGAAAAAGAATTAATTAAAGGTGGCTTTGTTTAATTAACTTGAACTCTGTTAAACAGTTTACTGTTTGCTATAATGTTCGAAAATGAATTTTAAATTTCAAAACATTCTCAAATCTCAAACAATTGCAGAATATATTACGATAGTGTGAAACCATATGCTTTAATAATAAAGTTTATTAAATTTGATGAGATTAAATTAATTACTGTATTTATAACTATGAATTGTAAATAAACCTTTTTTTCTAAAGCTTTTCCTCCATTTTTTTCTCATTTTAAGATAAAATGTTAATACTAATATTTTATGTTTAAAATCTCAGAGTTGAATACGTGAACTGCCACCATTCATACACTAACACACGGAATTTCAACTGAGTGTTGCTGAAAGTTCTGTAACTCTTGTTGATGAAATATGGAGATTTCCCTTCTCACCAGCCACCTAATCAACAACAAAATATGGTTCCTGAGTGTAAATCTGATATGTCAGATTTGATTTACTGTGTTTGACATGTTTTGAAATATCTGAGGAGTTTAAAATGGGATGTGCAAATCAACATTTGCTATTACAGTCATCAACCTATGAATAAGCTTTTGCTAAACAGTACCTCTGTGCTTGTATAATATTCTAGAATATCAAGAACATAATGACGTTGCATTGATGGGGAAAATAAGCAGTTCTCTGCAATCTCCCAATATGCCAATAAACAAGTCAGCAGTAAATTAGGATATATGCTATTCAAAACAAAATATGTGTTAGATGAGTAAGTGGTAAATATCATTAAAAATATGTTGGATGACGATTTGATTAAGTTCAATTTAATATATTACAATATAAGATAAACTTGAGTCCATAATAATAGAGAGCATATGTGAAGTTAATGTAAACCATAGATTTCCAATTATTTTGTTTTTCTTACAAATTTTCCCCTCACTTTGTATTTGCAACTATGATTCATGCCCTTGTTACCTCACAGTTAGACTACTGCAATGTATTTTATGTAGGACCAAACTTGAAAATGACTTGGAAGCTGCAACTGAGCCAAACTGCATCAACCTAGCTATTAAAAAAGAGGAATGGATTTAGTAGCAAAAGACTCATACTCACTTTGTTGGCTGTCAATAGATTTCGGGGCCCAGTTGAAGATACAAGCTGTAACCTATATAATGTATGACACAGTTCAGCATCTGTACATGTCTCTGGAATAGAATCAGTCATCCTATAATACCGCTCCTAGAAAGGCGGCAAAGGGTCTCCCATTTGCATGATGTGAAAGGAATGGGAACCAGAAGTGTATATTCTCCCACTCTGTGGAATATCTTGATCCCTGAGATGCAGAGCCTATTTGTTTTTTCTTTGCAAAAAATTTAAGACCAACCTGGTCCAAACACTTTTCAGCAAAGATGGTGAAACTAGACTATTATTGTAATGTCCTTTTTAATTAGTGATTGTCTAACTTTTATTTTGACCATACTAAGGATACTATATAGACCATCTTGCGTTGCTAGAACTAAAACAGAACAGATAGGACTAAATAAATACACAAATAAATAAATAAATAAATAAATATTAGCGATGTTTCTGCAAGTATCCATTGTCAAGAGCTGAAGGGTGATTTTTCTCATTGGAGAAGCACATTTTCCTAAATTGTATTAAAAGAAAAATTGAGAAAAGTTAAAATGAACTGATTAGTAAAGAGGGTCTTGTGACTATCCACATGTCCAAAATTCATTAATGCTTTACCTCTCAGGAGTTTTTAATAGCATAAAATTTGTCTGTTACATGATAAAACGCTGAAAACAGATCTAAGTCCCAATACTTGGGTCAGGGAAACAGAATACTGGCACTTTTTTTTTAAAAAAAATCTCCCTACTATTTGCCATGCAAAGATGCTGAAATTTGGATATTTAAAAAGTTCAAAACATCTATACACAGTAAGAAGCAATAAAAACAATCAGTTAAGAAAAAAGATCTTCAAGCTCAAATTCGTATTTGTATGTAAAACTAGTCAATGAATCTCAAAGATCCGGGTCATGCACGTAAGGCAGTAGAAAAAGGAGTAAAATGTATAGATCCAAAATGAGTAATTTGCAAAGCAGATAAGACATGAACACCAAATATTAGGGAAGCCGAGAAACATGCCAGAAATGTTGCCATATTAGCAGAACGTAAACAACCTGACATTCACAAGCATTAAAAATGTATCATTTTAAGAAACCTGAGTGAAAATTTACAGGAATATAGTGCTAAAATTCAATGCTTAGGACACCCTGCCAAGGCTGCCAACATATGCAGCATGTTGTTGCTGTTTCTGACTCCACACAATCCACGTCTTCGGATGAAAAAGTTTTTGGAGATCCAAGCAGTGTGTTATCGGAAATCCTAAATTTAAGAAAGGTAACTTTATATTTCCTTAAGAGGAACTTTTTATAGCAAAAGTGTCCATTGTTCTTTTAACGTACCCCGAATTGCTATTAAATGTTCTTCTTCGTGTTGTCAGATTTCCCATTTTTATGAGTTTTGGCTTCTTCTTGTCCAATGAGACGAATAACCTTGTAACATCCTCGTGTAATTTTGACCATCCACATTAAGTTTATAATATCCAATATGATACTGGGGACAATCCAGGCGGTTTGAGCTACAAATCCTAATCTGTAGTAGGCTTCTGTTCCAAACTCAGAAGCCACACTGTTGTAATAAATTGGAATGACTATGATCCTCCCTAGGAAGAACATGATGGTCATTAGCAGTCCATTGATGATGTTAGCTTTTGAAGCTTTAGAATACCCCAATGCTTCAAAAAACCACCTATAAGAGAAAAAGGATTAACAGAAATCAAAACCAGAAAGGAACAGTAATATTAATTTTATCTCGGCAAAGTCTAAGACTGTGCTGTCCCAGCCAGTCTATGGGAATTGGATAGTTACTTAGGAATTATGAGCTGTCCCCTTAAGGGAATGCATCGTGGTAAATGTAGTTAAAGGTATCCTGGGAAATGTAGTTCATGTCACGTGGCTACATCTGTAATCCTGATTGGTCACTAAATTGACCCTTGAGGGTTGGGGGAGGTTTCCCTCCATTCTTGTCTGGACTCATGAACCGATAGTAGCTTTTTCTACCGCTACGAGATGAGTTAGGAGATAACCATCTTTTACCTACAAGGCAGATATACAAAGGATTGGTCATAAAAGAATTTCATCACAAACGTGAGTTATGAGGATACCTGATGAACCAATAAATGTTCTTTGTTATGGACGTCTTGTTGAGTTATCTCTCCGCATCTGTACAGTTTATAAATCCACCTCTGTACAGGAGACAGGAAAGAGACCATATCTGCATATCTGCATTCTATTTGCTTAGAATGGGCAAGAAATTTGGCTGCCCTGAAATCTGGCTGCCGCCACAATGCCATCCTTACCACATACTTGGAAAAGTCTCATGGAGCATAGCTATCTCCACAGATTTAATGGGTAACTTGCTAAGGGGCATGACAGGCAGTTCTTTGGCTGAAATTCCAGCCCCTCTCATCAACCTGTGAAAAGCCCACTCCAAGTTGTATACATAACGCTTTGGTTCCTCCAAAATTGCAATCATTTTGTTTCTTCTCTCCTGTCATATCGTCAACTAATTGAACTGTTTGTTGTTTTTTGTTTTGTTTTAAATCCTTGAAACTATGAGTTGACTGATTGTAGTGAAAGGTTTTGTATCTGTTTGCTGCCATCTAATGATCTTTGTAGTGAACTGATCATCTGGATTTGGACAGCAATTGGACAGGGGGTGATGAAAACCTGAAGTTTAAGAAATGGGTTCTGTGGGGAGCTGTAAGCTCCCCAAGAATATTACTTGAAGAGGTAGTAAGGAGCAAAGCTCTTGTGAACTGTAATAATTGAGAAGAAAATTCCCTGTCAAGGTGAGCTACAGAAATTTGAAAGATAAGTTCTTTCCATTACACTTCGAATTACTTGTGAGAATCCAAGAACAGGTTAGTCAATTTCAGGACTTGAAACTCCATCAACCAATTGACTAATCCAAAGGGGGAAGGGTGTGTGCAGAATGGCTGTAGAAACCAGGGTTCCAATTTACCTAACAGCTCAAAGAGAACTGAGGGATAGCAGACAGATCTGAGACTGGATAGAAGAGGCTGATCCAACAGACAATTAGCAGCAGCAAATGGAACCAAAAGATTGTCATTGCCGGACATGTTCTCCCACGTGCATCAATGCACTTAGCACTGCCCACATATGTTTCAAGGATAAGAGAGATAATAGTAGATTCTAGTAGAATAAAGATTCTTAATCTGCATTAGGGCTGCCTCAACTGCAGTGGAGCAATGATCTAAAGTATATTTTCTTAGTTGATAATGTATTCTCTACTCTTGTTCTTTGTGGTAAATAAGAATAAACAGAAGCATAGAAAGCATTAATTCTAATCAATAGATGATATGTATAAATCAACAACAGGACAAAAATATTCTATTTCAGCACAGATACTAGAGAATGCATAGTTGTAGGAAAAGTGGGGTCCTGTATCATTTCTCTCATCTTCCTTTGTGTAAACAGATCAAAGCCAAACTCACAGAATATAGTGTTAAATTTTGGAAATGTGCTGTTCTCCTCAAACTAAAGGAAATTTTGAAGAGACATGAGGCAAAATTCAGTATTCCGTTAGATCTTATTATGTTTAGTTTTCCCCAAACCCTTCTATTCTAATAAAGTGGGAAATATTTCTTTCCCTGTGTGATTTTGTTCATGTTGTCCTTACTCCAGTATAGTTTCTGCATTTGTTGAATGAACAGAAATAAATACAGTTAATGAATGGAAGTAAAGAAAGGAGTAATATAGTTCCTTTTCTTCCTATTGATATAGTCATAGGAAGTGAAATAAACTTAAAGCAAGATCTAACAGAACGTTGAATTTTGTCTCATGTCTCTTCAAAACTTCCTTTGCACATTATTAAGGATCATTATATAAGAGCAAATTTGTCTCTGACAAATTTTAGGGGTTAATAATTTGTATATACATGTACAGCATACCATCTATTTTATTTTTTTCAAAAAGTAAGGCTCCTCTGAAGTGATTTTCTAGTTTAAACTATCCAGATGATTCAAAAAGGAAGGAAAAGAACTTATATTTAGTTTAGATTATTGTACCTTGCTTTCTATAATTTTTGTTGACCAGCTCAAAAGAATAATTGAATTGTTTATAGATGTCAGGGAGTTCAGCTGAAGTGAACAACTTGACCATTTTCCTTTTGTTAATGATATAGGCAAGGAATATAAGTGGTTACTATAAAGATATGTATTCATAAACTATATTTGTGTGTTAGTAAAGAGATTCTCTTCACTTCAAAGCAGCAAAGACAAATAGCAATGACATAACTCCTGAAAGCAACTATAGAAAGAAATCTGAAACCAATTTGAAGCCAAACTGTAGATACTAGTTTTGTACCTTGTGCCATGCTGCAAAAGTAGCACAGCAAAGGATTCATTTGCGATGAATGGGCCTAATACCTTCCAATAGCAATAATGAAGTGACCTTAGATCATTTTGCATGAAAGATGAAACAAACAAAATAAAAAAATAACATTTTAATGTAGTAATGAGGCAAAGAGGCTATTTTCTTCATTCTAATTCTCCTCCTTCTAATGCTATAAAACCTTTACTCTACATGTCCTGGCCAAAATAAAGGAGAATGACAACATAAAGTGATACTAAAAGAATTAGACTGTTGAAACTTAAAAGAAAACACTATATTAAACTTTCAAACTCTGAAATGAAAGTAAATGAAAGTAATTATTCAAAATCAGTAAAAAAGCAGGCAATGAGTTAATATGTTCAAACTATACGTAGCAGTGGATGAGAAAAGGGAAGGGAAGGGAAGGAAGGGAGGAAACTTAGAAAATATAGAAATCTTTAGAAAATTTTCAAAAATTAATTTCTATATCTCATTCTTGGTACCCAGATGGATCATGCTTTTGACTGAGATTTTAACAAGTCTTTGATGTATCTCGGAAGTGATTATATAATACAGTAGCAGATATGAACAAATAAAACAACAAGAATGAAATAAACTCGCAAGAGATAGTACTATACAATTTTTGAGACTACATGCAACTTAAAAGTTGACCCTAAGTAAGGTACCTATTCCAAGAATCATTGCACAAAGAAAAAAAAATCTTAACATTTTTATTTAGATAAAAGTCTCTTTCTGCTTTAAAGAGCCTTGAATGGATATTAAGATAAATAACAATATGGTTATTGGTTTTAGTTTGAATAGTTATCTTTTTAGAAATTATGAACATCATCTGCTAATAGAAATTAAATTATTTCATAATTAAATGTAATTTCATTAAGTCCTCTAGCATTCATACATTTTAAAAAAACTCAATTAATATATTTGGGTCATTTTCATTAAACCTTTGCTAAAACACCAGTGACCACAAGGTTTTAACTTTAAAAAACAGTGATACTGTATCATGATAAATAGACAGTGCACATTTGTTAGGTCAGTAGTGACTGAATTACAAATAGCAAGCTAAATGATAATGTAAGAATAACTTATAGAAAATATTACCTACCGCTGATTCACAAAAGGGGTAGACAATTCTGCAAGCAGACGAAAATTAGCAAAATAAGCCAATACTCCTTTATCCTAGGAAAAGGAAGTAGAAAAACAAACCAGAAATCACAGTTCTAAGTCTTATAAAAATAACACATAATATAAAACTTCTAAATATCAACATTATACACTTAACATAAAATAATAGTAGTAGATTGGATAATTAACAACATAGAATATTGTTTAGGAAAATATACCAAGTTTTTCAATCCTTTCTCTAATGAATCTAATATACCACTTAACACATCCTTTAGAAACTATTATAAAGATCTACTCACCATATTATTAAAAACTAGTAAGAAAAATCATTTCACAAGGACAACTTCAATAGTTCAAATTTATGTAAGTTTTATCCAATATAAATGATCTTACTACTGTTGAATAAATGCTACTGTGGTCAATGCCCTGATCTCCGCATTTCCATGTTGCTATGCATTCTATATAGATAGTCCTCAACTTATAACCAGAACTGAGACAAAATTTTCAGTTGCTAAGTGAGATAGTTGTTAAGCGAGTTTTGCCCCATTTTATAACCCATCTTGCCACAATTATTAAGTAAATCCCTGAAATTGTTAAGTTCGTAACAAGGTTGTTATGTGGATCTGTTTTCCCCATTGACTTTCTTGTCAGAAGGTCTCAAAACAGGATCACATGACCCTGGGACACTGCAACCATCATACATATGAGTCAGTTGCCAAGCATCTGAATTTGATCACATGACCGTTGCCAACAGTTGTAGGTGTGAAAAATGGCCATAGGTTTCTTTTTGTAACTTCAAACAGTCATTAAACGAACTGCTGTAGGTCAAGGATTACCTGTATATATAACTGAAATCTGCAATGGTTCAGTATGCTATCAACAATTCTGATTTCTGGTCTTAGTCAGATTTGTGTATGGTCTATTAACTACCAAATTTGCATCTAGGTTAAATTCTGAATGTTGCTATTTAATTTTGAAGCTTCATTCTCTTAATCCCAAATATACTTGAAAGAGGACAAGTATAAAAGGCAAAGCATATTAATTGAAGGGCTACTGATGAACACAGGATGTATTGATTATGAAACACTGTAACTTTCTTAAGTGATTCAGAATAGAATAGAATAGAATTATAGAATAGAATAGAATAGAATAGAATAGAATAGAATAGAATAGAAT